TTTAAGTATATGCAAACATATATTTCATTGCAGGTTTTTGCCAGATGCAGCTTATATAATTCATAACACGGTCAGACTCTCTGTGTTGCTAGGACTATGCTACACTGGCCACTATGGCTACAGGTATGTCCACACATATAAGCGAGAACTATACCTGGAGTGGGAAAGTGGAAAAGAAGAAAAGAAACAATGTATTTTAAACCTACTTTACATTACTGTGCTTGTACCGAATACGCACTTCACTGCTTTGGAACATTTCAGGAAACATTAATTTTTAACCTCTACCATACACAATTTTACAGCCAAAGGCAGAAGTAAATCAATGTTCCTTTGATAGTGAAAGACTTATCTGAAAGGACTTCCCAATTCCACTTTTGTGCCGGCACATATATGTAACAAAACCAGCCCCCATGCTTAAATTGATAGCCGGTGTAAGGCAGAAAGGAAGGCAGCCTGATTACTTTACGGTTCTTTTGCAAAACTGATGAGACAGCAAATGCTATTCAATCCCATTAACAAGACTAAGCACAGCTTTTCCCCTCTCCCTCTTTTACTCCCTCACAAAAATATCCTCACATTCCTTACATGAGGATGGTGTGATACGCTTCCACAATTCGGGGAGATTGGAAATTACAGGACATCTGCAATGAAATTGGTTTTCTGTGGAAAACAGATGAATCACTTACTGCCAATGACTGGAAGGAAAAAGTACTTGTTTATGCCCTTCCGTAATGAATTTTTATGAGGTACAGTATGAAAAACCTTACTGCACACTTAAAGCTTCTAAAGATATAAGGTAATAGAATTCTGAATACTCCGTCGGAATTATTGAAAAATAACGCATTCACCTGCATAAAGGCACAATGCCAGCCACATTATTTGTTTTCCTGCAACAAAATTAAAAAATACATTTATCGAGTTAGACAAAACAGCAAGATTACAAATACATAACGCAAACAAAAATTCTGTAAAGTTCAGAAATTCTTGACAAAAGTATCCTAAAAATTAGATTAATATCATTAGTAATATTACAGAAAAATAAATAGTTTAATTATGTATTTTAATTACCAGTATTTGCGAAAAACAACATTAATAATCAAATTAATATTCAGAAGTATACACTGACACATAATCAGGTAATTTTACTATAATTAATAAATAAGGAAAACATACAAGCTAGCTTAAAGTGAGTTTTTAAGAACACCACAAATCTGCATTTAGTATATTCTTTTAACCTTAATTAAAAGGATCCTTCACACACCCTGAAATGCATGGGATTGTCTTTTGAAGTTTGTCTGAATGAAATAACCATATTTGGGGTGTTGCTGCTTTTCTCCTATAAAGAACTGAACCATCCACAAGGCAACCTAGGCTTGATCCTCAGGTTTGGTTGCTGCTTAGGGGCCCAGCTACAACCTTGTTGGTGTCTTATAGGGCTGACAACACCAGCACAGACAACACAAACGGGGCAATTTTTCAGAGCCTATTGCAATCCTTATAAATGTCAGTCAAAAGGATGGGGGCCAAAGCTGCTACTTTTCCTAGGGCCCCGTACTGCCTTAGCCTTTCTTTGCTCCTATACTCTGTGGATTACATCCAAACACCTCTTAGAGACCCTTTGGGTATTACAGCTGCCTAACTAGAGCCACTGCACTCTACTTGATATATTTCCATTCCCCACTGTGAGATCAGGTCAAATTTGGAATTCAGAACCTCTCACACTCATCTTTCACATAACAATAAAAACCTGGCCAGCGTTGCAACAGTTCCTCATTCTATCCAAAGCTAATAAAACAATGTTGGTTTTAGATATCTTTTAACTTTAACCTAACCCTAAAATGTAACCCTTGATCTGACCCTGAACTTTACCATAGCCTTACCCTCACACTTACACTTAACCCTCAATATGTACAGTCCAACCAAAATATTTTTTTTATTTTAGATATAGCAGAGAACAGTAGGAATTTCTATCCAGTTTTTATTGCCGTCTATGTCCCAGCTGGAGAGATTCCCTTTCACGGCTTGTCCTGGTAACATGGAGCCACAAGGGCAGAAAGTGATCGTAAATCTCTCCAAGGGGGACATAGCAGAAAAAGGTTAGAATGACTGTGACTGCGGTTTTTCTTTTTATTGACATCTGTACCTTTCTGTCCTGGTCACCCACATTATCCTCATTTGTGATCCGTTATCATAGGTTGGAAAAGTGAGGAACAATCTCTTTTTAAGAGTAAGGAAATGGTTTCAGATGGACTAACCATAAACATAAATTAATCATTAGCCCCCTAAAAACCAACTCCTAAAATTAACTTCTAGCTTTAACTCCTAATCTGTGTTTATCCTGTCTTTACAAAATCATCCCTTCTTAAACCAGGATGATCACCAAAACAAAGCTGCATGGAGGTATTGATGACAAAAATTAAGGATTCACTAGAACTAGTACTGATGTCTGGAAGACTGATAAGAATTCCAGTACATCTGTCCTCTTTGCACAATTGTACGCAGTCCAGTATAGCTAAATATTCAGTAATGTCACTAGTCCAGCAATATAAGACGGATCTGTCTGTCTCTGGGGCTTTAGAGCCTTCAGCCACACCAAAGACCCATATTATGAAGAAAGCACATTGGATCCTTCAAGTCATATTTTGGGTGGAAGAAGTTTGTAGAGGCAAGTTTATGTTACTGTATTTTTGTTGCAGTGATGTGTTGTTGTATATGTCCAACAGTAAACTACTCTACCATTTCTAGTTTTATTAGACTAAGTTAGGATATGAACCCTTGCTGAGTCTTTATTACTCTTCTTTTGAAGAATTTGCCCACCAGGTTTACAGACAGCAGAAAAGATATGGCAGTTTTAGGAGTATTTAGCATGGTGGCACATAATGTTTATGCTCTAATGGCGTCTCCTTCCATGAAATAAATTCTGACTGTTTAACCCCTTAGCGCTGGCACCTGACAGCCCTGTAAGGGGCACGGAATAGGGTTATGTGACCACAGTGACTGGTTGTCACAGCGGTCACGATTGGAAAGCTCCCGACCACAAGCAACATTTGGGACCTTTCCATGAGCAGGAAGCGCGTAGGGAGCATGCTCTCGGCACATATTCTTTTTTACATTTGGTATGCAAATATGCGGCCCCTCAGCACCAAGACTTAGCCACCGAGAGTCTGCATATTTGCGTACGCTTAGCGCCAAGAAGTCAAAAAGCTTCCAGCTAAATTGTCCACACTATTTACTGTATGTACCTGACAGGGGTTAATGTATTCCTATAAAGTTCCATAAACAGATTTATAGGAGTAAAACAAATATAAAAATTGGTATGGCTATGCATCTATGAGTGGAGGTCACACAGGTTACCAGGTAACAGAAGGCACAACAAATACACCATTGCCTTATCCAAAAATCTACCCTATTGTTCTCCAGGACCCCGAAATTCAGAAAGCACACAGTATGCAAATCTTGACACAGTTCCAAGTCATAATCCCACCTCTACTCACAACACAACTGAGGCACCTTAACTACTTACTTAATAGTAAAGCGAGTAAAAGTGAAGGAATCCTTGGTTGCCATCAGAACCAGTGTCCATATGGAAGATTTCCCCTCTATTCCTGTTCTGGTGATTTAGGATCTCTTTTTATTTTCATTCTCAGTGAGAATGATAAACAAGACAAACAGAGAGGGTAAATCTTCCCAAGGGGGGGGGGGCACAGACAGCAATAAAACTGACAGGTGTTATAATCCCTCTCCATTCAATCCAAAACTTAAAGAAAAAAGCATTTAGTTATACTTTAAATTGTGAGTGTGGGGCTGTGCTGTGAATTGCATGCTTTGCATGGTCTGGATATCAGAAGTTTTTTAGCGCACTTGATGCAATTTTGATGAGGTAGTGGTAAGACACTAGTTTAAATTTACATTTCAGAAAAGGGCTCAAATATCAAACAGCCCTCAGCTTTATTAAAGTGGCTGTAAACCTCAGACATGAAATATGAACAAAGCACATCCCTCTATTGTGCTTGTCTCAATTAAGAGTACTAAGTGTAATTTCTGTCTGCTGCCTTATTCCTCTGCTCTCAGCATGAATCACTTCTGACATGTTTTCCTGACACCAAGACAAAAATGGTGACAGGGGATGGGGGGACCTCTAGCAGCTTGACAGCCTTTTCTCTGAGCTGTGTGGACATTTACTGGGGGTTTCCCACCAAACAGCTGGGGGGGGGGGGGGGGGTTCTCCCACCAATCAGCTCTTAGAGCTGTCCTCAGTGAGCTCTGCAGAGTGCAATTTCGTCTCTCTGCCCCCTTTTTTCTGAACTCTCAGACAAGTTTATAAAAGCAACACTTTGTACAAATGTGGAGAAAAGAAGACTGCAAATAAACAGGTACAATACTAGTAGTAGGATTTCATCTCTGTGTATCACCTGAGGATAGTCTCTTCACTGGGTATATGTAAGGGTTTACAACCATTTTAAAGTTATTGACCCAAGGGCTCAATATGACTATTCAGGCTTCTCCTGAGGGCTCAAAATACCCAATCAGGCGGAACATGACCAGTCAGACTAAGGTTAGGATTCGTGGCTTGGGGTTAGGGATCAAAATGACCAACCGGGCTTTTTCTGAGGGTAAGTGGAAAATATTGTTTTTCTTCTACAGTGAGAAGAAAATACAAATCAGCTAAAGGTTCGAAAATAAAATACAACTCAAAAGTACTGGTTTTTGACAAGGAATTTAACAAGTCACAATGAAGGGAATCCAATAAAAAAATGACAGTTCAGATGTGGAGTGCAAACTGGTTAGCTGAATCAACCAGTGGCTTCATCTATTTCTTGGAAACTCCGGCAGCTACTGTTCCTTGCTATTCATGGGTCTGTTCATCTTCATAAATGCTTTTGAAGAGGGCATGAAAACTCAACACTAACATTTTCACTGCTGTAATACAAAGAGCATACTGTTTGAAAACTATGAGACATCACTGCTGAGTTGTTCAAGGTGAGTGTGTTTTGCAAAGTTTACAAAGTGTGAACTTCAGAAATTTCAACTTTGAACTCAAGGGGCTGCAGACTGTGTACTTGGGTGCTACACTTAGGGCATGTGAAATACATATCAGCCATGTAATTACTTTTAACACAGTAGTAGCAGAAGACATGACTGCAGCCAATGGTATGAGGCATAGTTGGCCATTCTCCACATAAACAGCATTCCTTACAAAGGACCGCTAGAGATGGATCAGTAAGTCGGAGCCCTTTGACTGGCTTAAACCAGGACAACATCTTTGATTTCAGCTTTTGTGTGTTGATCAGAGGCAAAAGGAAGATCAGAAATTCGGCAAATCCATGCCACAAAATTTCTCTGTTCATGTACTCAAACCCAACTTGACGAATGGTTTGAGGCTTGCGGAATACTGACCGGATTCCTAAAAGGCGTTCAGCCAGTGTGGCAAACTTTCCTTGCTGCAAAAAAACTAAGAAATTAAGCAGTCCACAAATCTTCAGAAGGCCAGACACAACATTAATAAAGTACTTTGTTCTTTGAAAAGATGACCCAAAAGGGTGATTACTGAATAAATCATAGGATCTTTCTTCCAGCCATTTTCCTCCAACTGTAAAAAGTGCAAACCATACCTTCTGCTGTCTATTAAGTTGCCTGTAATGTTTAGTTTGAGATAAGTCATTTTTGTACTGAATGTTCAAAATCGACTGACCAACGGTAGCGTTTTTGGAGTATACTGTATATCTCCATAAAAAACAGCCATAAAAACGCTTTAATCTCTGGTTCAAAGCGACTCAAAAGTCCTGGTTTGAAGCCTTGAAAACAACTGTTAAATTGAGACCAGATTAATTGCTCCAATGCCTTGTTTAATTCAATAGCATCCAGTTGACTTATTCTTAACACAGGATTTTATGTCTTCCATATTGTTTTCTGCACACAGCCATTTCTCCTGCTGGAAAAATAAATCTGGTTATTTAACATGCAGAATATTTATCTAACCAATAACAAGAGCTTCTAATTCAAAGCACTAAAGACTTGCAAAAACTAACATCTATCTATTCTTATCAGGGATATATCCTATTAAAAATATTCAGCTTATGTCTGCATTATACAGGGAACATGAAAGGTAGTCTTTGCATAACCTGCACTTAACAGTTAAACCCAATTTTCCAAAAAAAGAGAGTGCCATTCAAAAAATAGATTCAAAGGGTACATTTAATAAATATACAGTGCCTTTAAAAAGTATTCATACCCCTTGAAATTTTCCACATTGTGTCATGTTACAACCAAAAACGTAAATGTATTTTATTGGGGATTTTATGTGGTAGGCCACCACAAAGTGGCACATAATTGTGAAGTAGAAGGAAATAATAAATGGTTTTCAAAATTTTTTTTACAAATAAATATCTGAAAAGTGTGGCGTGCATTTGTAGTCAGACCTCTTTACTCTGATATCCCTAACTAAAATCTACTGGAATTGCCTTCAGAAGTCTCCTAATTAGTAAACACGTGTCCATGTGTAATTTAATCCACGATTTAAAATACAGTTATTCTGTGAAGCCCTCAGAAGTTTGATAGAGAACATTAGTGAACAAACAGCATCTTGAAGGCCAAGGAAAACACCAGATGGGTCAGGGATAACGTTGTGGAGAAGTTTAAAGCAGGGTTAGGTTATAAAAAAAAAAATATCCCAAGCTTTGAACATCTCATGGAGCACTGTTCAATCCATCATCAGAAAATGGAAAGAGTATGGCACACCTGCAAACCTACCAAGACATGGCTGTCCACCTAAACTGACAGGCCGGGCAAGGAGAGCATTAATCAGGGAAGTAGCCAAGAGGCCCATGGTAACTCTGGAGGAGCTGCAGAGATCCACAGCTCAGGTGGGAGAATCTGTCCACAGGACAACTATTAGTTTTGCACTCACAAATCTGGCCTTTATAAAAGAGTGACAAGAAGAAAGCCATTGTTCAAAGAAAGCCATAAGAAGTCTAGGTTGCAGTTTGCAAGAAGCTATGTGGGGAACACAGCAAACATGTGGAAGAAGGTGCTCTGGTCAGATGAGACCAAAATTTTTTACTTTTTGACCTACAAGCACAATGCTATATAAGACAGAAAACTAACACTGCACATCACCCTTAACACACCATCCCCACCGTGAAACTTGGTGGTGGCAGCATCATGTAGTAGGGATGCTTTTCTTCAGCAGGGACAGGGAAGCTGGTCAGAGTTGATGGGAAGATAGACGGAGCCAAATACAGGGTAATCTTAGAAGAAAACCTGTTAGCATCTGCAAAAGACTTGACACTGGGATGGAGGTACACCTTCCAGCAGAACAATGACCCTAAACAAGCAGCCAGAGCTACAATGGAATGGTTTTTATATTTTATGTTTTTGGTTGCAAAATGACAAAATGTGGAAAATTTCAAGGGGTATGAATACTTTTTCAAGGCACTGTAGGTCCTGTAAAAAACAAATTGGTTTCATATGTACTTGTTAGTGTATAGTAGGATTCACCTGTGTTGTCAAGTCCAATGCCTAAGCCTAAATATAAGAGGTATATTTATTAAGCAGTGAATCTGACATGCACTAAACATCATATTGGTATGGTTTTTTTTTTAATGACAGTATTTTGATTCACTACCCGTAATTGTTTGGTAGAAGTCACAACCAATGCTTTATAATTATGATCCCACTGCTTTCATCTTACCCTTTAACTTACAACCATTTCTTGCTTGGTCGTAAAAGCGCAGTTGGGGCAAAATTAAAATTCCAGAGCTCATTTCAGGCCCCAGAATCTTTTAAAAAATCAAAACAGCAGCTCCAACTGCAATAATTCTCTGATCTCTGGAACTGTTTCTCGCAGACTCACCTAGGCACTGATCCAATGCTGGCCTTCTTCAATTTGAATGTTGGACTGATGCCCAGCATTATTAAACCCACTGTCTGTGAGCCAATTCTGCAATGTGGGCCCACAGCATTTAGGATCCATTTATAACCATGGGAAGAAGGGTCAGAGAACCTGTGAGGTCAATGGACTGAAGACAGTAGAGATAGAGATTTTTTAAAATTACTAAAATAGCTTCTACCCTTCTGGGAAGGCTACAAAGGATTCTGGAGTGTATCTGTATGAATGCACCCATTTTGCAAAAAAAAGCATTTGTGAGGCTAGGAATTGACCTGTCTTACTGATTAACACCAATGGTGTTTAAGTAGGCCAAGTCATGTGTTTAGGGACCTGGCTTTGAGCAGGTGAACTGAATCAATAGCTTGGAGGAGCGTTCAGATACTTTCAGCCATATAGTAAAACTGCACAAACTTCTCAATGTTCAAACAGACTCAAACAAATTACTATAAGCAGTAGGGGATGTCACCATACTATTTTTGACCTAATGGAGCCTGCCTGTATTTTTATATGTAAATCAAAAAACTCCTATGGCTAAGATATCTGAATTATATTGTGTATGCAGATCACCCCTTTTCCGAGAGTGTTCCGACTCCCTTCATCTTGTTCAAACTTTCCAAAATGGCATTTTTATTTGAAAAACTGTACATACAGGTTAGTCAGGATTCCCCTTTTGCACTAATAAGACAAACTGCTAAGCAATATTGCAAAAAAACAGTTGTTCATCCTGACAATGTGACCCAGATGAGGAGATGTGTGCCAATCCAGGCAGAAATGTCAAGATTTGTATACAGGCTATAGCACATGGGGTGCCTAGTATACAGCAAGTAAAGCTGTGTGTTGGTACCATGAAAGAAAATTACAACTATCCATAGCTTTATTGTTGTGACAGGTTCCAATTAATACATGGAACAATCAAAATAATTTGAGATATTTGCTTTTTAAAAAAAAAAAAACCCCGCTTTAAACAATAATAAAATGAAAACCCTTTCCCAATACCTTCTAAAGATGCTAGAATAATACCGCAGCACAGGTTTTTAAAAGCTGCATGGCAGAACACACCCGGACTGCTAGCTGGCAATGCAACCAGGAAAATATCTGAGTAACAGCAAAAGTTGGGATCATTTCTAAAAAGCTCAGCAGGTGCACAGTTTTTAAATGTCCTACTTGCATTTGCCTTACTTCCGAATTGTGACATGATTTTATCATCCCCTGCTCAGAACAGCCACAGATAGCTGACCCCATGCTTGCAGGGCCCAGCAGAAACAAGTAACAAAAGACCATCTTCTGCAGGTGGGCTTAGCTATTGTACTGTGATTATCTGATAAAAGAATAAAACTGTTTGGTGGGGTAACTCAAGGACTATTTATACAATCCTCCACTCTCTGCTACCTATTGACATTCACTCGACGTCACATGAATATCATGTTGTAACAAAGAATGACCCCAGATCCAGAGACAAAACCTGAGAACAAAGCGAGGTTCCCTCTCCCGAGGTCACTGCACGAACAAAAAGAAGAGTCAAACTACTGAAGCCAAATTGTGCACATGCAGAAAATGGAGAGGCGATCCCAATACAGCCGAATGCTGAATTGTATTCCCCCTAGACCAATTTAAGTGAGCACCCTGCAAGAAAATGCTACGCAATAGAATGTTTGCTGGATTACATTCTCCTTTATGTCATAAAACCTTTGTTCAGGGATGTATATAAAAGAAAAAGAGAGATAAGATTAACTCTATTGCTGTGACTTTATTTTGGTTGGGGTGGGGAAGGGGGGGGGCTAACACAACTGTCAGGTTTACTGGCATATCAGAAAAAGTGGACCAATGTAAAGATTAAATCAATTAAGCTGTTTTGCAGAAAGGACAGCAGAAAAAAAAAACAAACACAGAAATGACATAGAAACTAATTGGACACCAAAAATCCATGTTCAAACATTAACTATTTATTTCCTGGTCAATATTCACACTATGCACGGATTAGGTTTTGATGCTGGTAGGGTTGTCATCAATGAATCCTAGAGGAAACCTGTGTTGACAGAAGTACCTGCCATTGAACACCTTCTTTAAAGATGCTAGTCACATGGCTTTTTCTGGCTATCTTCTAAGTAGCTAGCTGACTCATAAGAAATAAGCAGTAAGAAAAAAAATAAACCTTCCAATCTGTAGAATTTGCTTCTTGTCAGTGACTCCCAAATCACAGAAGCATGGCAACCCTGACGTCATGACGCTTAAGGAGACAAGCAAAACACAGCAAGTACACAGCAGTGATTGCAAACACACACTGTGGATTGATTTTAAAGCGATTTTAACAACAGTTACATGTGAGTGCACTACTAGAATTTTATTTCAAATGTTTTTATTGAAAGATTTTAATACAATACAAAACAATATATATCAGTGCGGTTCACAATTGGGTGCTTACATACTTCATATGAAAAAGAACTACTAGAATTTTAATAAATGTTTTAAAAGAAGATAAGGCACTATGTTTTTATTACTCTTTATGGCATATACACCTATGGAGGAAGAGTCCTAAGGAAGTGAGGGGATCCTTGACTTTGAAGAGTGACATTCCCATCCAGTTCTAAGTCCAGTTTAAAGGGACACAAGCCATATATGACCTCACTTAACGGTTTGGTCATATCTACCAGGTGAGAGCACAACTGGTGAAGGTGCACATTTGGTTGTTATAACAACGCAATACTGGTGGATTGAACACAAATTGTTCTGTCTACATCACCTGAAAGTGTGAAGTCACAGATTGAATATGGACACTTAATTTTTTAAAGATATTGTATTTGGATACAAAATTTGTTTTGGGTTACTAATTTGTTTTTGGGAATCACCTATTCATTTGTCAGTAGAGCACGACACGATTATAATTTTCTAGAATGATAAAAGAGGTTGCATAGGTCATACAGATGCAACTGTCAGAGGTCAGGATTTGTTACTCTCCATTTTAATAAATATAAGTGGGTATGGTGGTCATCTCAGCTCTATACATGGCTGTATGGCAGAACAGTAGCTAATTGGTTA